CAAGGTTGGGGGCCGGTTTGCAGGGGATGCCGTATGAGGCGAGACTGAGGGAACGGGGTCTCTTCAGCCTGGAGGAGACTCAGAGGGGATCTGTTGGCGACATACAGGCATGTGAGGGGGTGTCACATGGAGGTGGGTAGAGACCTGTTCTCCCCTGCAGAGGAAGGCAGGACGCGCTCCAACGGAGCAAAGCTCAGGGAACCCAGGTTCTGTTTGGATGCCAGGAAGCACTTCCTGACAGTCAGGACCCCGGGGGTGTGGAAGGGGCTTCCACGGGAGGTCGTTGAGGCCCCATCGGTGTGGGTGTCCAAGGACAGGCTTGGACGTGCACATGGTGGGCATGGCGTGAGCAGAGCCAGCTGGAGCCGGGAGTCAGACTAGATGGCCCGGGAGGCCCCTTCTGACTTGCTCTGTTTCTATGTTTCTGTATAAGACCAAAGGCCCATGTAGTCCAGCACTCCACACGCACAGTGGGTCCAACCGCTGCTCAGTGCAGGGCTCCCAGTTCCCCCATCCCGCCCAGAGGGCTGCCCAGTTGCAGCCACTCCTCAGGGGAGCTGCTCCAGCCTTCCGCTCATTTTTGATGCCCTCCCCTGCACCTTTTCCACCTCAGCCGTGCCCTCTTCCAGGCAAGGCGGCCAGAACAGAACACGATATTCCAGGTGCGGTTGCGCCAAGGATCTGCCCGAGGAGAGGAAGGCCGTGGCTGTTCCTGCCATTCTGCCCTTGCAGTTCTGTTTTCCGTTCTGTTCCTCAGAGGTGTCCCACGTGGAGGTCGCCTCCTTCACAGCAGCTGAGCGCTGCCCGGCCCGGCATGTTCATCGAGCTGCCCCCCCCCCCCCCAAGATCCCTTTCTTGCTCATCACTGTCGGCTCAGATGCCATTAGCATGCATTTGATGTTGGGATTCTTGACCCAACACGCGTTGCTCTGCCCCATTCCTCTCCTTCCTCGGGCTGGAGTATTTTCTCAAGGAAGAGATGTTGACTTTTCTTTCTAAAAACAAATTCCGGAAAGGACCACCCTTGTTCTCCCTGCTGAACCAGCTGTTCTCCTGCCCCATCCCGTGTTGGGTGAGGTGGGAAAACAGGCTGCAGGAATGGGGCTCCGCCTGACGGAGGAGGCGGCTTGCCTCGCAGTGCACATCCCTCTGTGCTGAACCTGAGATGTCTCTGCTCCCCCTTATGACTGGCTCCTCCCCAGGTGAAGGAGAAGCCTGTGCTTTATATATCCCCGCATTCTTGGGCGAGGGAGGACAAGACCCAGCCGCCCCCCCTTCGCCGTTCACCTCGCCCGCCTCCCGCTGCTCGCTGCAGGGTGGAGGAGGAACGGGACCGCTGAGCTCCAGGGAGACGCTTTGCCTGCCGCGGGTCCCGGATTTGCTCCTCTTCCCTCCGGGGCAGGGGCCTTGTGTGGCAGACCAGCGAGTGCCGGGAGGGGCCTCAGGTGCCGGATGCCCCGGAGATGGTGAAAGTGAGCTGGCTGCACAGTCGGCCTTGAAAGGAGAAGGTGCGCCCTGGTGCACGCGGGCCCTCCACCTCTGCCGAAGAAGGGAGCGCACGGCCAGCCGGGCTAGCTCGCTCCAGCAGGAAGGGGAAAGGAGGGAGGGTTTCATTATGTCTTTAAAAAAAAAGTGCTTCCCTTTGCAGAGATACAGAAGATGAGCCTGGCAGCCCCACTGAGAGCGCCTGGCAGGGCAACCGTGTCGAGGAACGAGAGGGGCGGGGTGGTTGGAGTCTCGGGCCAGCCACCCAGTCGGGGGGAGACGAGGGTGGCACTCGCTGAGCACATCGCAGCACTTCCAGGGAGTGTGATGGGGAAGCAACGGAGGCCTTTGGCTATCCCAGGATCTGTTGGGAGACAAATTCTGCCCAGCGTGGCCCCTCCGAGAAATTTTTGACGTTCGTGGCTCATAATTTTCCTCTGTAGGAAGTCGAGGGAGGAACTGGAGGGTCAGCTCTCCATGGCTTGACACTGACTAATGGGGATGACTCAGGGGATCATGTGGAAGTTGCAAGAACTCCCAGGGTGATGAGCACAACATGCTGGAGTTAAACAGCACGCACACGTGCTCGGGATTTTGGGAAGGGTGTTCTTAATAAACTCGGGACAAGAATAAAGAAAGCCCCACGGCAAGTGATCCTTCAAGGCCTGTTCAGTGCCATTGATCTGTTGCTTTTCGTGCACTGTGTGCGTGTGTGCATTGCCCACAAGCCCATGTGCACGCGCACACACACCCTACGTGGGAATGCGTCTTGGGTGCAGTCATCTGAAAGAAGCAAATTGCAGCTGTGAAATTGCCCGGCTTGGATGGCATTCAAGGAGAGGCGGGACGTGAGCGGAGCCGGCTGGTGCCGGGGGTCAGACTAGATGGCCCGGGAGACCCCTTCTGGCTCGCTCTGCCTCTATGTATTTTGTCCATGTATTATGCTGCTAATCTTGCGAAATAGCACGTTTCCAGAAACCGAAGCATTTCCACCCCACACGTCCCACCCTCTGGCCCATGGGAAAAATCCGCCCAGGACCCTCCAGCCTTTCTTTCCAGGGTCTTGGGCTACTCCTCAAACCGTGTGCGTTGCCAGACCATCATCACAAGGTGCAGCTCGACTGACTCTCTTGCCGCTACGTCAGACCTTGGTGCGTGTGGCCTTCCAAGGCCTTGTTGTGTTTATGCTTCTGCTTGGCCTTACTCAGGCGCCTTAAAGTGACCCCCTGCATGGTCAGTTATCTGGGGAGTCTGCGGTGCCCACCGTGCCCCCGGGCAGCCTCTTCTAACTTACGGATTTCCCCATGGCTTTCTTGGGAGCTCCGATGGCGACGGGAAGGAGGTGGGACTGCAGTTTCGGCACCCTCCCGAAATAGTTTGAGTGAGCCCTGAGAAGAAAGCTGACTGGGGGCAGCCCGCCTTCGCAGTGCTCCTGCTCTCCAGGACCTGCTGCAGCTTGCCCTGACGAGCTCCCCAGAGAAGCCGTTTTCCTGCTGTGCAGCTCCCCAGAGAGAAAACGGGCTTTGGCCTGCAGAACGGAGAGTGGCGTGCGTAACTCCTGGACCCTGCCCCCACCGGTGCGAGCACCACCTCTGGCCGTAAGATCTCTGAGCAGCGTGGGGCGCATCCCTGGCGGATCATCTGAACTCTTGCCTGACAGAGCGCCGGCTCCCCATGGCTCTTCCATGCATGCCTGCGCTTGCGCAGAAAAGACGGGGGGACACGCCTGTTCTCCACTGCCGTGCAGCGCCACATAGATCTTCACGGAGGTCCAGCCCTCTTTCCGCGGCCTTGCAGCTCGCCCTAGCTTAGAAGCAGGATGCGACCGGAACTGGGCTTCTGTGTGTCGGCCGGAGCTGGGGAAGGCCCGCTGCCCTCCCGGAGCAAACGGGCAGAGCACCCCAGGCAGCGCAGCCCGGCCTCTGGCGGCTGCAGCTTTCCTGCCAGAAGCGGAGGGAGGTGTGCTCGCTGGGAGACCCAGGGCTGGATGGTGTTGTCGTCTGAGGTGCGGAGGAGGCCTGCCACACCCGCACCGACCGGGCAGCCGTCAGTCTTCGGGGATCACGTCATTTTCATGCAGAGGAACATCCAGCCACCCTCAGCCCAGAGGCCGGGTCGGCCCCAGCTCCCCGTGGGAGAACAAGGCCTTGGTTTGACGTTGGGCTACTTGGGGGCTTTAGGCTGGCGCTGCAGACGCCTGGCTGGGTGTGGACCTGCGTTTCTCTTGCGACGAGGGCAGGTGCCTGGAGAAACCCCGAGGACTGCAGTGTTGCTCGGAGTGCCTAGACGTCTGAGGTGGTGCGGCTAAGAGGTTCGCACGTGCGCTTGGATCCGCACACCGCTGGTGGTCGCCTGCGGAGGCGGCAGTGCCCAAGAGCCGCTTCATGCGGCACGTGGTCTCCTCAGAGGGGCACGTGGCCTTCCGGTGTGTCTGCCACGGGCTGCGTCCTTGTGTGCACGTGCTTGCGAGTCGAGTCTCGATGCGATTCGGTTTGTCAACTGAATGGCTTGGAAGCCGCAGGGGAGCCGAGCCGGCGCTTCAGACGAGCCGAGCGCTTGGCACTTCAGCTCCCGGTGGGCCAGCCCAGGCCCTCGTGAGAGGCCCCGCTCCACGCTCCTCAGCAGCGCGCTCTTCCCGAGGCACGCAGGGTCTCGCAAGCAGGAAAGGGAAGTGGGCCGAAATGGCCTCCCTCCCACCCCAAGCGGCACGGGAACCACAGCGAGGCAGCACCCGTCCCACGTGTCCCTGCCCTGCGCGGCCCATGTGCTTGCGGCCCCCGCAGTTGCGCTGCAGTGATGTGCGCTGTGTGGGGCCGCCTTGGGCCTGGCACGGAGCTGCAGCTGGTGCCCCTGGGGCAGCCGCTCTGCCTGCCAAGGCCCGTGCTGAGCGGCCGTGCCGGCCCCGTTACCAAATGAGCTGCCTCCTCGGTGGAAGGAGGGTCATGCTGGGGACCCGAGTGAGCAGGGCCAGGCTGCCCGGCAGGCCGCATTCCTGGGGGACCCCCGCTGCCATTAACCTCTCCGGAGGGGTCTGGCTGGCCATGCCAAGGCGGCCGTAACGTGGCCCTGTGGCGCCTCCATGGCGGGCGTCCCCGGCAGCAGTGCCGCTCTGGAAACCGCTCGGGCAGCCTGGGAGGCCGGAAGTGTGGAAGCGTCCCCGTGCCGTCCCAATTCACACCTGTTCACGCAGGCTTTCCCTGGCACGTAGTTAAACGGTGTTCCATCTGACTGCCTCCGTGCTGCTTGGTGGCGGTGCTGGTGGAGGTTCGTGCTTTTGTTTCTCAGATTGTACGATTTTAGCATTTTTACAGAAGCTGCTTAGGGATTCTTCTCCATGTTTTGCAGGCTAGAAACTGCGGGGGGCGGGGGCAATGCTCCTCGGGCTTCGCTTGCTCTCCGGCATGACGCTTCTAATTCCCGTGCCCGTTCTTTCTTTTCTTTGTTCCCCAGGAGTACAAGCAGAAGCTTGCTCGGGTAACTCAGGTCCGCAAAGAGCTGAAATCCCATATCCAGAGCCTGCCAGACCTGTCGCTGCTGCCGAACGTGACGGGGGGGCTGGCGCCCCTGCCTTCTGCCGGAGACCTTTTCTCAACTGACTGAGGCCCTCGCGGGGGCCTGCATTCCTCCCCTGCCCAGTTCCCGGTCACAGCACCAGAACACCTCACGACGGTCGGAGATGGAAGGAGCAGAAAGAGACCTTCGCTGGACGCTCCCCAGCCAAGAGCGGGGCCCGTTGGCACGACGAGATGGCCGGACCCTCTCTTGAAAGGAGGCAGCCTCCTCATGTTTGGCAACAATCCATGTTTACTTCGCTTCCCCCGTAGCATCTCCACTTTCCACACGGCCCATGGGAATCATGTGTGTCTGCTTCCAAGAGTTTTCAACAAAAAAATGGGTTGATTTATGCTTTGCTTTCTTCCCTGTGTAAAAATCCGGGGGGCTTCCAAATTGGTTTGGTGTGTGCCAAGCCTTCTTCCTGGACTTCACAATTCTGGAGTGTGCGTGGCACCACAGTGTAAGGAAGGGGGTGTGGGAGCAGCTGCTGCTCGCTCGTGGCCTGCTGGCGTGGGGTCCCGGGACCACAGGCGACCAAAGATGGGCTCTTGTGACCGAGACCTGAGTGCCGCTCCCCTGGGCAGTGCTGCTGTTCCTCGTGGGTCGGAGCAAGTCTGCTTTGCTCGGGCCACCCTGCAGCGAGCGCCCAGATGCACTCGGGTCGAGTCATCCGGCTTCCAGGGGGAAATTTGCAACGGTCCTCCGAAGGCTCCGCAGCCTCGCTAGACGGGTTGTATTGCTAGCTGGTAGAGAATGGGCGGAAGCCGGAAGGAGGTTGTCGGTGGCCACGTTAAGGAGCGCCACTCGAGAAGTGCTTGAACTGGATCGTGTCCTTTGCAGGTCTCTCCTCTCCTGTTCTCCTCCTCTGCCAAGTCAGCAGCAACTGCACTTCCGCAGCACCTTTCCCACCCCTGGTGTGCTCCAGATGCGTCGGACTGCTATGCAATGCGCCCGGGGGATGCTGGGGTGTGCAGTCCTCGCCTGGAGGGCACAAGGCTGGGGAAGGGTGCTGAAGAGGAGGAAGACTTTTTCACCTTCCTGTTGGACAGTTTGCTTGGAGGGGGTGGGGGGATTCGGGAGAAAAGCCTGCTGCTGTTCAAGCAACTGAAGGCCACCCCCCCACCCCACCCACCCCCCACACACACATACTCTAATCCTTCAGGAAGGGGCAGTCCCTTGGCTCTCCTTTCCAGAATGCAGACCCTTGCGCTCCTGGGGGTGGGTACTGCAAAATCCCCCTATTACAGCGCATTTCTTCTCAAAGCAGTGTGGGGTTCCTTTGCCTTGTCTTCCCCTTTGGGATTTTGGGTTTTACTCCGTGGACACAGAAAGTGCCTCCTGGATCGTCACAGCTGAGGCAAAAAAGTCTCCACGCAAGACCCTTTTCCCTCCACGGATCATGGGGTGATGGGGAGAGCCACACCATGCATCCCAAACAGCAGCACAATTCCAGCAATCCATGTGTTTCCCTTTCCTTTCGCTTCATGTGGCGGAAGCTCGTGCATCTGGCTTGCTTCCAAAGGCTGGGGAGGGCAGGTGCTTGTGCTGGGCACGGAGGGCTCTGTGTGGTCTTGCTGAGAACAGACCCATAATCTTGCCCCGAGACATTTTCCTAAATCTGTATATGTATTGATCTAGAAATAAATTTAGAGCTATAGGCTGCCATTTTAGCAGCAGTATATTCTGAAATGTTGCATAAATATATTTTTGAATAAAGAGGGTGTCATTCAACAGGTGAGTGGCTTGTTCTTTGCACAGTGGTCCTCCGTGAGCCGATCCGTCTCTGCGGGGGCTGGAACCAAGATAGTTTAGAAACCATTTCCAAGCCCCAGGCCAGATCTGTTCTTGCATTTCACTGCTCGCCATATGAGTGCAACCTGAGCCTGTTTGGATTTTGAAAGTACTTCCGGGAAGCATTTACTCCTTCGCCTGGGTGTTCCAAGTCTGAAGTTCAACCAAGACTGTGCTGACGTCTTTGGAGTTTGGTGTGACGCATAGTTAGCTAATGGTGCGGCTGGGAGTGCGATGCCACAAATCAGAGTCAGAGTACTCTGGTGGGATTTGCTTTTGAGGAATCCCCGTCGGCTTCTAGGAACCACGGCATTGCTTTCAAGGTGTTTGCATTTGTAACTCTTGAGTTTGACCAGCTGCCCTTGTGTTGGTGGTCCTTTTCCTGTAGAACCCTCAAAAACTGAAAGTCAACTATTACGTTTCCAGAATATTCAGGAAAACTGGGAAGGTTCCACTTCAGCATGAGCTGGGTGCTGGCTGGCCATTAAAATACCAAACAGCCATAGGTCGGGGCTGGAGCGCTCTCCTTTTAATCACCAACGCTCCAAAGCATCTCCACTTCAAAATCCTGTTGTGAGCGGAGGCATTTCCTGATATTTTTGCCTGACTCTGGAGGCAAAAGAAATGCGGAGCCCGAGGGGTGTGCCTGGTCCGTTGTGCACTTAACCGCCCTGCAGGACCAAGCCAGAATATGCCTAGCGCAGTCTTCCCCAGCCTGCTGCCCTCTGGAGGCAACAGACAACAGCAGGGGTGGCGAACCTTTCAGAGACCGAGGGCCCCACATGAAACCCAAAACACATTTATCACAAAGTGCCAACACTGCAATAAAACCTGAAAACTCAGGTTTTAGTTTAGACAACGCTGCACACAGCCAGTCCAGGCAAATATAAACGTACCATTAGCAGCGCACTGACCGGCCATGCGAAGACTCGGACGAGTTGTGGCTAATGAGTGACACCTTATGACGTCATCGCCTGGCACTGCTACTTCCCGAGCACGCGCATGGCCTCTATGTGCTGCTATCGATGCTCGGCTGCTGGGGTGATGCTGGGCGACTTCGCATGCATTCTGACAGGGCTCTGCGAGCACTCTGTGACATGGGTGTCATAGGTTCACCACCTAACCCTACCCTGGTGCTCACCCCTAACTCTAAGACAGGGCTAAAGTTCCATTGAAAAGAGGGCAATTTTGAAAAAGCCGTCTTTGAGTAGATTTTTCTGCACAGCTCATGATTTCTGCCCATTCCAAAAGCATTCCAACCATCGAAATCATGCCAGGGCACCTTGTTTTTCTAACCCTAACCCTACCCTGGTGCCCACCCTTAACCCTAATATAGGACTCAAGTTCCATTGGAAATAGGGTGATTTTGAAAAGCCTTCCTGGAGTAGCTTTTTCTGCGCAGCTCATCATTCTGCCCGTTCCAAACACATTCCAGCCATCAAAATCATGCCAGGACATCTCCTTTTGTTTCCCCAATGCAGTGATGGTGATCCTTTTAGTTCCCAAACTGCAACCCAAAACCCACTTATTTATCACGAAGTGCCAACACTGCAATAAAAGGTCAGAACTGAGGTTTTAGTTTAGACAAAACACCTCACAGCCCGTTGAAGCATATATATATATACACACCGTATTTTTCGCTTTATAAGACACACCTGACCATAAGACGCACCTAGTTTTTAGAGAAGGGATCCATGGAAAGCTTCATGATAATCACAGGCACATTCCCCATCACTTCCCCGTATGAGGCAAGACTGAGGGAACTGGGTCTCTTCAGCCTGGAGGAGACCCAGAGGGGATCTGTTGGCGACACACAGGTACGTGAGGGGATGTCACACGGAGGTGGGGAGAGGCCTGTTCTCCCTTGCAGAGGAAGGCAGGACGCGCTCCAATGGGGCAAAGCTCAGGGAACCCAGGTTCTGTTTGGATGCCAGGAAGCACTTCCTGACAGTCAGGACCCCGAGGGGGTGGAATGGGCTTCCCCAGGAGGTCGTTGAGGCCCCATCGGTGCAGGTGTCCAAGGATAGGCATTCTACTTACTTTTGGGGGGGGGAGTGTGTCTTATGGAGCAAAAAATACGAGGTGTGTGTGTGTGTGTGTCCTTGGCAGTGCAGTGATGAGCCATTCGAAAGCTTGGACGAGTCACAGCTAATGAGTTGCGGCTCATGACGTCATCGCCTGGCACCACTACTCTTTTCCAAGCATGCGCATGGCCCCTGTGCGCACTGTTATCTGATGCCCGGCTGCTGGGGAGATGCTGGGCGACTTGGCTCGCGTGCCGACAGAGGGGGCTCTGCGTGCCCGCTGTGCCCCGCGTGCCATCGGTCGCCACCACTGAGTTGCAGCTTCTGGTGGTAAGTCAATTCTTTCTGCTCCAGCCTGGCACCACCCTCAGCAGGACTGGGCAGCCACTCCGGTTTATTTTTCTGCTCTCTGCCCATTTAAATGCAATGTGTAATTTTTACATCAAAAGGAGATTTCCGCTTTCTCTGCAGTCTGTCAGTGGAGACCCTTTTCCTCCAGCCTGTCTCCTGTGTTAGAAGCGGCTTCTGTGTTAGCAGGAGCTTGAAGTAGTTTCTAGTACATTTACATTTTGTTTATAGTTTTGTTGTGGCCAAAGGAAGAGACTGAGAGGAAGCAGTTGAGCAGGGCAGAAATATTAGATGGGCACCGCCACCCTCTTCTCTTCTCTTCTCTTCTCTTCTCTTCTCTTCTCTTCTCTTCTCAACCTCCAGCTGTATCCTGAAGCCGCTTGCCGTGCTTTTTTCTGCTGCATTCAGCAAGCTCTTGGCTGCTGTTTTGCAGCCAAGTAACAAGACCCCATCCTTCGGCTGGAAGTCTTTCTCTCCTGCACCGAGGTGGACGGCCTCCTTAACACAGGAGCTGGGATAACGGGCGTCTCGTGCAAGGCTGCAGCTCAGCGGCTCCTTTGAGAAAAGGATTCACTTCCAGCGTGTGCCATGTCTCCCACACGTCGGCCACCTTTCCCTTCCGTGCAGAGTGAGGGCGGAAAACAGCCGAGCTCCTTCCTGCTCCCCGTGTCCTTTATGCTGCTATGTCTAGTTCGCTGCACTCCTTGTGAGCAAAACCATCGCCTCGATTTTCTGGGAACTGGCCCTTTGAATCCTGGCCCTTTCCTCATGGTGTGCTCTGCCCCAGTCGCTCAGCCTCAGGGCAGGCCCACCTTTTGCTTGGCTGTAGGCCAAGCGAGTGCTCCACAGACAATCGGGCTCCCCGTGGGTTGCTTGCCCCTCCTCTTTCTTGCAGGAGGGGTCCGGCAACATCCACTGGTCTCCCCTTTCCCATCACAACCGGGAGCGGTTTTCAGCTTTCGGTCACTTCACCTGTTATCTTTTTTCACAGATTGCAGAGTTCAAGCAGAGACCTTTCAAAGTGCCCCTCTATCAAATGGAGGTTCGCCTACTCAGTGTGGACGGCGAATGACAACAGATGACGAAGAAAAGGCGAAGGGCTCAGCTGCTACTGTGGCTCCGTCTTCTCCCAAAAGCTCCTCTGATGAAGGGGAAATCCAACACTGCAGGAGCAAGAAGGCAGCGCAAGACTGATAGGAACGGTACGGATCATCCAACTGGGCCGAATGAGTTCAGCTCCGGAGCCCGACGACCCCCACGCTGGCGGAAGAGCTCTCAGAGCCACCGGCTGCTCTCTCCGAGAAATCATGGAGGACGGTCAGAGGACGAGCCAGATGACTGGGGGAAAGATCACGTTGCCCCGTCTTCAGAAGAGGCGAAAAAGAAGAACCTGGGAACGACAGACCAGTCCGTCTGGCATCCATTCCTGGGAAAAGTCTGGAGCAGATTGCAAAGCAGACAGTTTGCAAACACCCTGAAAACAATGCAGGGAATACGAGGAGCCAGCATGGATTCCTCAAGAACAAATCCTGCCAGGCAGATGGGATCTCGTTTTTGTTATGTCCCACGGTTTTACAGAGGAGATTAGAGACCAGTTGGTATTTTCAAGAGAAGGTTTATTTCCTATAGGGACGACACTCTCCCACAAGGATGGGATGAGTGCCGCGCATTTTAGAGGGACAACAGAGTATTTATACCTTGTTAGAAGCAAAGGGAGAATTGTTCTTGACAGCCTACACAAGCCAGCTGGCATGATATAGAGGCGAGACGGTTTTGCAGTTCTGATACAGAAAGCGGCGCGTCCTTGCAGTTAGTTTATCTTCTGATAAGAGCGGAGAGGCTCTACAGCTGGTCTATCTTTTTAAGTTTTTACCCCTTTGATTAAACTTGCCTATTTGCTAAAATAACACTCTGAGGCCGTTTTCAAGTCTTGCTCTATTGTGCTGACCCCAATACACAACTGATGGCCTCCTGCCAGGTGGGTGGGGCCCAACAGTTTTTTGACTGGGTCACCTCCCCGGTGGACTGTGGGGATGCTGCGGACGTGACTATCTTGACTTCAGCAAAGCTTTGACCATGATATCCTGATTAGCAAACCGGCTGAACGTGGGCCAGACGGAGCAACGATCAGGCGGATCCACAGTCTGCTGGAGAACCGGACTCGAGGACGCTCATCGTGGGACCTCCTCCGCCTGGGGAGAAGGACTGCAGGTGGGCCCCCACAGTGTCCGGTCCTGGGCCCAGAGCTCTTCAACATCTTTATTAAGATTTGGGTGAGGAAGTGTGGGGATTTATCATCAGATTATGTATTTATTGTATTTATTTAGAATATTTTTATCCCGTCCTAGACAAACCAATTGTCTCAGGATGGCTTACAATATAAATATTCTAAATAAATATAGTATAATAAACAATAAATACAAACAATCAATGACTATAATAGCATGATAAAATGTGACTGAGGATAGTAATATTAATAAAACCAGATTAAAAGTATTTAAGCTTTAAAATGTTGGGTAAATAAAAAGGTTTTTACCTGGTGCTGAAAAGAATATGAAGTCGGCGCCAGGCGAGCCTTCTGGGGAGAGCATTCAGATGACACAAAGCTGGGTGGGATTGCTAATACCCTGCAAGACAGAAGGCCCAAGGTTGGTGTGTTGCGCTGAAAAGAACAGAATGAAATTAAGCAGGAACAGAGGCCAAGTTCTACATGTAGGAGGAAAAAAATGAAATGCGCTGTTACAAGAAGGGGGAAACTTGGCTCAGCAGTCCCAGCAGGAAGGAGGCTCTCGGAATGGTTGCAGATCACAAGCTGGACGTGAGTCATGATGCGACGTGGCTGCAAACGCGGGCAAAGCTGCCGCCCAGAGAGAGGTGGGACCCGGCCTTGCCCAGCGCGGGAGTCCCGCTTCTGGTCAATGCTCCCAGCCCCGAAGCGGGAGAGGCCACCCCTTTCCCCCCCGGAGTGCCCCATGGAGGCCTCTGGCCTGGTTTCCGGAGACAGCCCCGTCGCCGCAGCCCGAGCGCCAGCGGCCGCCTCAGCACAGAACCCCTCGTGCAGGTCCCACGGCGCTGGACGCTGTCTGCAGTATCCTCCCCACGTGATAGACAGCTCTTTGAGCATGTGCAGAGTGTGCCCCATTAGCGAACGGCAGGCGTTTTGCATTTGAAGGAAGGGCTTCTTGCTCCGCCAGAAGGTCCTGCGGGCAAGCCAAGCATGAGCCTCTTGCTGATATTTGCCTGCTGCTTTTCTATATAGAAATATCCCAGTTTCACTAACAGAATCCAAGACTGGGACATGTGAAGCAAAACTGCTCCAATTCAGTGAAGATCCCCTGAGATCAAGGAAATGGCTCCGGAAGCAGCTACATCTTCATCAAAACAGGCGAAGGAGAAACAACCGGGTATTTGCCGGGTGGCGCAAGGCAGGCCCTGTGCGGGACCTCTCAGGCCCTCCTTTGTGTGCCCGGGGGGGGGGGGTCGCCCAAGTGGGCCAGGTGCCCGTGAGGCCGAGCAGGACCAGCTCTGCCAGCGAGGAGAGTTTTGCACGGGGTAGAGACGCCGTGACGCGGGCCCTGGAGCCGTCGGCGGGAAGGACGCGGCGAGCAGGCGGCGGGCAAGGGCGCCTCCGCCGTCAGAGGAGACCGAGCAGGCTGGACTGGAGGAGCGCCCGATGCCAGGGACCCTCTTGCCCCCTGCCCTTTTCACCTGCCTGCCTGGAGGCCCGGGCTCATCCCCTTCTCTCTCTCGCCGGGCCTCTTTCTTGGTTTAAAGTCTCCTTTTCCCATTGCAGCTACCTGCGGCCCACCTGTTCCCCACAACAATGCACCCCTAGGCGCCTTACAGCCCTCCTGGCTTTCACTGGGGGGACTCCAGCCCGTGCTGGACTCGGCTGGGCTGCGTCGTCCGTCCGGCGCTCTCCTGCCTCTCCAGTCCCCCGGCTTCCTGGCGGGGGTGCACTCACTGGCCGCTAGACGAGGGGGAGGGTGTCGGCTGCGCCACCGGGGCCTTACTAAATTCAGCCAGCCGGTGCCACTGCTCCCTGGCTGTGCCCCCGTCGCAGCGCCAGTTAATTGCCTTTAGATGGAATTAGCCAATGCCCAGGGACTCTCTCTTTGGAGTGGAGCGAGCCGCATTCTGCTGGCAGCCGGCCGGCCGGTGTGCAAGCGGCCTTCCCTCCGCGCCGAGCTGGAAAGCGCTTGCTCGTGGCGCCGCAGGCGGGCGGCCTCCCTTCTTAAGCAGTGCTCCGGGTTCACCGCCCTCCCGCTGGAATAGTTCCTCTGGAGTTTCCGTGTGCCGAGGTCTAAGAGCAGGCATCGGTTCATTGCTCTGCAGGAAGCAGCACCGGAGTGCCTCAGGCAGCGCAACCGGGTTGCTTTTGCTGCCACAAATGGCGGGGCGGCCCCTCTGAGGGGGGCTCGCCCCGTCCACAGGCAGCGGGAGCCGCCGTCTTCGGGCAGCGCTCCTGCGGAGGGGTCAGGAAAGGGCAACTCACAGGAAAAAGCGCCAGCCTCCGGGACTGTTTAGCTGAGCAAAGCTGTGAGCCAGCGGAGGCAAGGCACTGGGGCGCAGAACCGTCCGTGGTGCGCAGCATGGAGAGGGGACCGTTTCTCCCTCTCTCGCCCCCTGGGGCCGCAAGGGGTCCTTCTGGGAAGCGGGCCGGTGGCAGGCGTGTTTGCTCAGCGCCTCCGTCCCACTCCAGGCGCAGCGGCTGCCGCCAACCCAGAGGGCTTCCAAGGGGGAAAGGCCCTTCCTGGAGAAGGCTGTCATTGGCGCCCAGTCCCGAGGGCCGTGGGCTGCCTCCACTGCCAGCGGAGTATGCTGGGTGCAGCGGTCGCTGGGGAACATGGGTGGGAAGGCACCGCCACCCTCCTGCTCCACTTGCGGGTTTCTCTGGGGACCTTTTGGCAAGTGGACCGCTGGACCAAGACGGACGCCGGATCCCACCCTGCTGGAAATGCCGCCCGCCACGGCTAAGCCCGGGGGCGCCTGGATGCCGGGGGGGGGGGGCATCCCAGGTTCACAGGGCAGGATCTGCTCCGCAGAGGATGCCTTGGGCAAGACTCACGGAGCAGCCAGGCCGGCTGCCTCAGTAGAAGCCTGCGCTTCGTCGTTCGGCCCAGGGACAGTCCGACTTCAGCATCAACGTCTTAATTGAAAACATCTCACTGGCTCTTTTCTCCCCAGAGCTCGGATGCTCCAGAAACGGTGCACTTCCGTGACAGGGCTGGCTGCTCCGCACCGTCGCTTCCTAGGCTCGGGCAAGGAGTGGCCCAGCATGACCATGCCACGGGGAGCAGGATCGTGGCCCGTGTGGTGGCCCTGGAAGAAGGCGATGCTCTTCTCCTGCTTCCCACTCCAGAGCGGTGCCGGGCCGTCCTGGCCGGCCCTCCTTGCCTGAGGGACAGACCCGTCCTTTCTCCCCCGTCAGTGCCCTCTGGTTCCCGCATCTGTCCCGGTTTTCCTCTAAACAGGCCAGACAAGCTGAGCCAAAGCTGGCTCTTTGGAGAGTCATGTCACACACACACACCCGCGCGCACGTGTGTGTGTGTGTGTGTGTGTGTGTGTGTGTGTGAGAGAGAGAGAGCGAGAGAGCGAGAGAGCGAGAGAGCGAGAGCGCGATAATAGGAAACAGAAAGGAAAACAGAAACATCAAAAGTAACCAAAGGAACTAACATACTAAAATGATTTACACAGCTAGATGCAAGAAGTTCCACAGAGAATTAGCAATCAACATTATTTCATCTAGGCTTACAACTACAGTTTTACCTGATAATACATAGTTATAGATAATGTTCAATTAGATTAGTAAGCAGTCAAATGAAACTAATAATTTCACATAGAAAACTGCTTTTACATAGTAAGTTATGATTCACCCTAGAGCATATCCTAAAATAAAAAGGTTTTGTTTAGTCGCAAAGTCATGTCCGACCCATCGCGACCCCATGGACAACACTCCTCCAGGCCTTCCTGTCCCCCACCATCCCCCGGAGGCCACCCAAGCCCACACCCACCGCCCCAGTGACCCCATCCAGCCCCCTCATCCTCTGCCGTCCCCTCCTCCTTTTGCCATCAATTGTTCCCACCGTTAGACTTTTCTCCAGGGAGTCCTTCCTTCTCATTAGGTGGCCAAAGCATTTGAGTTTCACCTTCAGGATCCGGCCTTCTAAAGAGCAGTCAGGGTTGATCTCCTCTACGACTGACCGGTTTGATCGCCTCGTGGTCCAGGGGACTCGCAGGAGTTTCCTCCAGCACCACAATTCAAAGGCCTCAATCCTTTGGTGCTCAGCCTTCCTTATGGTCCAGCTTTCACAGCCATACATTGCAATCTGTCCTCAAGGCATTCCCCCAAATTCTCTTTTTCACCACAGGGAGCAAGAAAGTATTAAGGGATGATTTGGCCACCTAGCTCAGCTTTGTTGTTGCTAGTCGCAAAGTCGCGTCCGACCCATCGCAGCCCCATGGACAACATTCCTCCAGGCCTTCCTGTCCTCCCCCATCCCCCGGAGTCCACTTAAGCTCACAACAACTGCTTCAGTGACCCCATCCAGCCACCTCATCCTCTGCCGTCCCCTCCTTCTCTTGCCATCAATTGTTCCCAGCATTAGACTCTTCTCCAGGGAGTCCTTCCTTCTCATGAGGTGGCCAGAGTATTTGAGTTTCATCTTCAGCATCTGGCCTTTGAAAGAGCAGCCAGGGTTGATCTCCTTAAAATAAAATTAGAATTAGAGAGACCTCTTCCCTCTTTTCTCTCTGCTCTCCTCTTCCGCTCCCCAGCCATTCGCCTTTCTCCTTCTCTTCCTTCCTTCCTTAATTCAGAAAACAGTGATGCCCAATGATTCCATTTTTCCTCTCAATTACAAATAAAATAAACATTGATAAGCTTTCCAACTATAACTAAATTCAT